CCCTTAATAATATTGAGCTAAAATTTGCCGTTCCAAGAACAACACTTACCGAACTAATGCGCGTATGTGATGGGCTACGCCAAAGCGTGGCATCACTACTTCCCTAGGAACGTAAGGTATACTAGGTATACGAGTTGTCTTGGTTTAGCTCAACGATATCAGTAAGGAGTCCTTAGATGTCGTGGCAAAAGAGATAAAAATGTCAAGTATGCATTAGATGCGACATTTTATCAAACCGAGAGTAGCTTGGAGCTATTAGCAATTGGATTGCTTACCTTAAGATATTTAGTGGTTAAGACAAGCCAAAGCATGCTTATCCATTTCTTGATCTTTGGGATCTCGGAATCATTTTATTCTCTCCCATAAGGGACAATTTATTAATGCGTGGATAAAATGCTCAATAAGATTGAATATTTGCATGAACGCTTTAAATTTCATCTTATTAAATTATGAATGGTTTTTCATTTCAAATTCTTTCAATTGTAGAACAATGTCTGCAAGTAACTCAAACAACAACCAAATGTGCCCGCAACTCCCCGAAAAGTTGGACTTTTCTTTAAACATGATAAACTTCAAAGAATGGGAGAAGGAACTCAGGAGAACTCTCAGGAATAGTTCCTTGGAGTATACTCTTGATACTCCCATTCCAAGCTTCTTTGCCAAAGGGATCATGACCGATGAGGCTCATGAAGAATGGTCTTCACACTAGGCGAAAAACCCCAATCCCCACCGGTTCAAACCATACATTCCCCACCGGTTTTGAACCGGTTTTGATTTGGGGGGTGCGAAATCCCAAAAGATTTCCCACCGGTTCAAAACCGGTGGCAAAAACCATTTTTCCCACCGGTTTTGGAGTGAACCGGTGGCAAAAGCTTTTGATTTATGTTATAGTTGAGCACTTTTCCCACCGGTTTTGGGGTGAACCGGTGGCAAAACTATAACATTTCCCACCGGTTTTCACACTGACCCGGTGGCAAAAGTGCCCCAAAAAATTAAAAAAAAAATTTTTTTTTTTTTTGCATTTTTTTCACTTAAATTGTACCAAATACTTATATATAATCATAATATACATAAAACACATACATTTGCCTCAATAACTTGTAATATTACACTTTAAAAACTGAAAAAAAAAAAAAAAAAAAAAAAAAAAACATATAGCTGTTTTGCTGGGCCTGGTGCTACAACGTTGTGAACGATAGTGCATGTCAACAAGATAATTATAAAAGCTGCCCAGGATATCATAACTACTGCTGTTCTGCTTCTGCTACTACTACTGCTACTGCTGTTCTGCTACTGCTTCTGCTACTATTGTTCTGCTTCTGCTACTTTGTGTTCTGCTTGCTGTTCTGCTATTGCTATTCTGCTACTGCTTGAATTGCTTTGCTGTTCTGCTATTGCTATTCTGCTACTGCTTAAAAAAAATGTATTTGTTGGAATCTGTGTTAATAAATTAGAAGAAACAAATCCATTCAGCAAGGTGATTTTTCTAAGAGCATAACATGGATACTGGAAACTATATGCAACAAAAATAACCTAATAAGGAACCATAGAGTTGCATGATCCCTAAAGAGAAACATCAGACCCATAGTCTAAACTAGATGCAGCATTCTTTTCTGAAAGAAAGTAAAAGAACTTCAATCACTTGGACCACATGGCCAACAGCCCGTACTATTCAGACACCTCATTTTATATCGTGTTGACTGCTAGGTACTTGACACTAAAATAAGTGTGTAGACAATTTATTATCACATTTCGGACCAAAATCATCCAAAATCTTTCATAAAGCAGCTAAGTCTGACACTTAGACAAGATCTCCTATCCAATACAAATAGCCAATTCTGAGTAACATAGCTTCTTATCATCCATCTGTTTTCCCTCTCTCCTTCTTAGAGACAGTGTATTAGGACTGCCAGTTCATAAATCTAAAGGTGTGGACAAAGCTAAATAAGGTCAGAGCCCATACGCTACAAGTAACAACTAACAGCGGTACGAAAATCCAAGATAGAAACAGATAAGGTCAAAGTGAGGGTTAAATAAATTTCAAAGGAAAAGAAATACTTGGATAAGAGAGAATGTGTGGTCCAAAAAATCTAAATTATATAAGATTTACCGAGAAAGGAAAGATGCCAAGTGAGTACGAAATTCATGAAATGGACCAAAACAGAAAGTAGATAGCAATTCATGGAACGAAGGTAGTAGTTAATAATAAAATGGCACTTTGTATCATGATAGCAATAGAAAATTAAATGTTTGTAAAATAAGACAAAAGAAAACATCCATATAATAAAAGAAAAGACTGGCTTCATCATCAAAAACACCACATGCAATCCTAATAAGACAAAGGAAGATATCCATATACGAGTAATAGAAGAAAAAACTGCTTCATCATCAAAAACACCAAATACAATCCATCCTAAAATAAAAATGCTAATATGATATTTTATGAGTCGGCAAGGAATTCGTTTGACAAAATTTGTTGGCTAGTTAGTAAGGCATACACTGAATCAACTTATTGCATGTTTATGCTTAGAAGCCTTAGACCTCAACTCGTTTGAATAAGTCGTCTCAAGACCAGCTGATTGCAGCAAAAATAAGTTGTGAGACCGATCTCATCATACAACTATAATTCTAGCGGCGAAATGCCTCTGCCTATTGCTAGAAATTTGTTTGATCACCACACATGAATGATGCAAACTACAATATCCCAACAGTAAAAATCAGTTTCTGCTTCATAGTTCAGAGAAATTTAAAGTTCAAATGCTTCATTATTATACATATGCAACAAGCTATGATCAATCAAATGATCCAGAATTCACAAATTAAGTTAAGGAATTATTAATCTGATCATATATATCCCTCTTCATTTTTAAGAATCTACATTTCTGTAACAAATGAACTCTTTTAATTATTTCTTCCACGATTAAGATCAGATGAACCCGATTCGGATTTCATACACTTAACAGATTATCAAGCATATTCAAACAAATGATCCTCAGAAAATAACATATATACTGTACATAACTTTAACCGTATATGTTTACATCATCAAAATATGCGATTAAACTACCTATTTCGGTGCTCATTTAACCTTGAGATTGATATATATGAGTAGCTTGATCAGGATATTTATCATTGATTAATTTTGTTTTTTTTTTTTTAATGTAAATAGTAGGATTAATTGAATTCAAAATATTTTAATTTGAATTAAATTTTAAGTCACAAAATAATGGTACAAATATATAAAAAAATGAATAATTCATGAATCCATCAGGGGTTTTTTTATCCAAAACTTCTCAAACTGTGTTACCTCAACGGACAAACCGGAGCAAATCACAGTGAGAAGTATGAAAGTGAGTCCCTTCATCATATGGATTATCCTAGTGTAACTGTGTAACTAATCATCAACCCCTAACATAGTCAAAACTTCTGCCTAAAAGTCTCAACAACCATTTCACATGATTGGAATCTAATGGCAAATAGTGTTGACTAGAAATTGGGATGAAAATCTCATTTTTTGGACACACATCATTGATGCAAACAAACTGTATACCCCCATTATACAGAGCAAATTGTATTCACTTAAGGTTATATATACCCTATTAACCATCAAGTAAATCATTCTTAAATCACCATCATTATCATACCCATTAGCATAACAATCTTATAGCCATCAAGTACATCAAGGACAAATCACCAACATTATCATAATCATTAACACAACAATCTTATAGCCATCAAGTAAATCATTCTCAAATCCCCAACATTATCATAACATTTAACGTAACAATCTTATAGCCATCAATTAAATCATTCTCAAATCACCAACATTTTCTCAATCATCAACATAAGCATATTCATCAACATAACAATCTAATAATCATAATCATCATCATAAGCATAAGCATAATCAATATCATAACTATCTCATAATCATAATCTCAATCAATATCATAGACATATATAATCAACATAACAATCTCATAATCATAATCAATATCATATCATAATCACACTCCCAACACCAACAGTGAACTTCACATCACCAAACGCAACCAAGCATATATAATACCCCCGGCCAACAACAGATCACAGTTGCTGGAATCCAAATATATTTTCCAATACAACTAACTTAAATAAGATAAAATTGAAATAATTCAATAAAAACTAAAAATGGAGAGAGAAGACTTAGCTGAGTGATTAGTAGAATTGATTAATATTACTGCCAAATGTCAAGATGAATAAAGCTTTTAGGAGCATATCCATTCTATAAGCTGCCAGAAAAAAGAATATATACCTAAATTGGTGGCAAAATTCAAAAGATTAGATAGTTGGATCAACAAATGCACAATAATTACTACTTAGTTCGAAATGATTGATGGAGCCACTGCAGGCCATTAAACACATACATGAAGACTACTGTAATGTAGAATTAATTAAGCATTAAGAGAAGTAAAGGCTTCCTTTTGACGGCTCAGAGGCCTTATTGCCTTAAGCATATAATTACAAAAATAAAATATGAGAACACTTATGATAACAGAGTCCAACGATATAAAAAAGAAACTGCTATTAAATATGTAAATATGATTGGGTGAATTGGTGCAAGACAAAAGGGGAATTATATCCTGCGAATTGCAAGGACATGGAATAATATTCTATTGCAAACACATGAACTTGACTAATTATGTTATTCAACAGATACATTTTGATATTTCACAAGCTTTAGTTGTTACTGACATTAATATTCAGCTAAAGACCAGGAAATCAGAGAAGATGGAACTTCATAACCTCATTGAACAATACATCATATTTCTAGAGTAAAACCAGCCCTCAAAAGTGTAGGTCTATTTTACCAGTAACCCATAAAAATCAGAAACTTTAACTTTCAAAATCTATCAGCTGGATAAACCAAGACAAACCAAGACAGATAATCATTAATTACTACTACTCAAAAAAAAAAGTAGATTTTATGCACCAAATTCATTTAAAAAAACAAATTCAAAGATTCATCAAAAGGACAACCACATAAACAAATTGATAAAAACTAATCAAAATTACAAACAACTCAAGCAAATTAAAATAAATAGTTGAATTCATAGTTTCATACCTTCAAGTCTAACATGATGAATGATTCCTGAAGTATAATTCAACAGAACTTCAAAAGGGTACAACTGGCTGTAAACCATAGGGATACTAAGAGTACAATTCCACCTTAAGTTCCTCCTTATCTCTCCTACATTCTCTCCCTTTCTCATTGTCTTCCTTCGATTTTCATTCTTTCTTACCTTTTTAGGTAAATTTCGACTGCTCCCATGAAGTGGGTAATAAATTGGATAATAATTACAATTTCATTAAGCAACCCTTGAATAATATTAAGCCCAAATTTCAACAAAAAACCAAATTTTCAGGGAAAAAAAACTACCTGAAAATGGATCCATCAGAAGCAGCAGAGAAAGAAACAAACGCATTCTGAAAACAGCAATCAAGTACTGCAGCTTCTGTTTGAACTTCTAATCTAAGCTTACTGCTTTCCACATCCACCAACCTAATACTCTAAAAATATTGAAGAAAAAAATTAATTAAATTGAGTGAAATTCAAAAGAAAATTGTGAATAATAATTTATGAAGAAGCAAATAATAGTAACTTACAGAATCCCAAGATGAAATGAGAAGATTGTTGGATTCTAGAGCAAATTGTACACGAGTAATCGTAAGATAGCACGATTGTTATGAACAATAATCAACATTAAAATGTAATAACTATAAATAACACAATTGTCTTCATCAAATTAACCTTAGAATTTCAAACTTGCTCAATTCAAATTGAATCTTTAATATAAAGAAAGAGAGATTACTTAGACCAGATCTATGCAGAAGACATTGATAAAGGAAAGATATGGAGGAGCGGAGAAGAATGCGACGGCGAAGAGTGACGATAGTGGTGGAGCCGTGGAGAGCAGGTGAAGCATGAGGGTGACAGTGGGTCATGAGAACCTCGAAGAGGCTCCGGTGAGGATGACGGTGACTGGGAAAGTCGCGGCTGCTCAAAATCGCAGCCCTCGTAGAAGATGAAGAAGAATGAAGGAGGAGAGAGAAGCTAAGGTAGGTGAGAGAGGAGGAGATTTCGAGGAAGGAGAAAGAAAGAAGATATTTCGGTTTGTTTTTTTAAGAACATTCGCACCGGTTCGAACCGAACCGGTGCGAAAAACTCATTTTTCCTACCGGTTTTCAAGAACCGGTGCGAAAATTGCGGTGCGGAATTCAATTTTTCTACTAGTGTCAAATTGCAAAAAGGTCTCACGACTTATGGCAACTTGAGGATGTTGTCAATGTAAGAGTCACCAAGAGTGACAATGGCAACTTTGATGGACTCGTGTTTGACTTGACTAGGTCACTCTCAAACATGAGAATAAAGCCACCAAACGTGGGATGTCTTGCTAAGGAAAGGCGTCGGCTTTGGACCAAGGTCTACAATGCCAAATTGAGACCCGGCATGCCCCTCCGACCTCATGTGCTTGGTATGACTAGGCTCTTCAAACACATGCAGCTTCTCGGAATCTCAATAGAGGATGAGATGGCGGGGCATATCTTGCTTGCTTCGCTCCACTCGGGCTATGATGCACTTAGAGTACATATAGCTGCGGGAAAGGAGACACGCTCCCTCAAGGAGGTGGTGCAACTCCTTAGCCGAGCCACTACCTATGGAGTGACCGAAAGACCCTTGAAAGCAAAGAAGAAGAAGTTCAAAAAGGTCAAGGAAAGGATGCGTTGCTTCTATTGTGGTGGGCAAGGCCACTACAAGAGAGAATGCAAGCTCTTTCGGGAAGAAGAGGAGAGGAATGTAACATCCACCTCAGGTATCTTCCTTAACACTTGTGAATTGAGCTTATCATAGGTATTGGATACCAAGTATGACTCACTTAATGTTGCCTTTTCAAGGACCAAGTGAGAAGCTTATCAAGTGTTGGTGCATGGACAAAAGACGACGAAGATGGTTTTTTCGGTCGTGCTTGCATGCACTATTTTGTCTATGACATGTAATTAAACTAATTCTAGTTTTACCATGCTTTTGAACATACTATGATCTATGGTGTTGGACACCTAAGTATTTTGAATGTAAGACTTTGACAATAGTTGTTTCAAGATTGTCTTACAAATTTATGTTCAATTAAATTGCATGATTTTTACATATGACAAAAGGTTGATACCACTTAGCTAAGACCATCGAGTCGAATCAAACCTACTTGTGGCATTGTCGTCTTGGCCATATTAACATCAAACGCATCAAGAAACTTCTTCAAGAAGGTGTTCTTGAATCATTCGACTTGGAGTCGTTTGAAAATTGCGAAGGATGCTTATTAGGCAAGATGATCAAACAACCATTCTCCAAGTTGGGAGAAAGGGCAAGTGACTTATTAGGTCTAATACACACGGATGTATGCGGACCAATGAGCACATCCGCAAGACAAGGTTATCGATATTTCATCACCTTCACCGACGATTATAGTAGATATGGCTATATCTACTTAATGTCGAATAAATCTGAATCCTTTGAAAAGTTCAAGGAATTTCAGAATGAAGTTGATAATCAACTTGGCAAGAAAATTAAAGCACTTCGATCGGATCGAGGTGGCGAATATTTGAGCCATGAATTCGACGATCACTTGAAAGAATATGGTATTCTTTCAGAGTTGACACCTCCCGGAACTCCTCAATGGAACAAAGTGTCCGAACGGAGGAATCGGACCTTGTTAGACATGGTTCGATCAATGATGGGTCTTAGTGAACTCCCTATTTCCTTTTGGGGACATGCGCTACAAACCGCGGCACTAACACTGAACCGCGCTCCGTCAAAAGCTGTTGAAAAGACTCCATATGAATTATGGACTAAGAAACCTCCTAGGTTGTCTTTTCTCAAGATTTGGGGATGCGAAGCATATGTCAAGCGATTAATTTTGGACAAACTTCACCCCAAATCGGATAAGTGTTTCTTTGTGGGATATCCAAAAGAAACCAAAGGGTATTACTTCTACAATCAATCCGAGAACAAAGTGTTTGTTGCTCGTGATGGTGTCTTTTTGGAGAAGGAACACCTTTCCAAAATGACAAGTGGGAGGAAAATCGAACTCGACGAAGTTCGAGAGGACGAGCAACAATGTCAACCTGATAAAATTGACAATCTAAGTGCTTTGGAAGCAGCTGGGAAGATTGGTCAAAATCAAACAGACAATGTAAATGCTCAACCTATTACCCTTCGTAGGTCGCAAAGGCAAAGATCTCAACCAGACAGATACCTCGGTATTTTCTTAACCGATGATCAAGACATCCTAGTTATGGATGGTGATGAGCCGGCGACATACAAACAAGCTATGACGAGCCCCGACTCTGCTAGATGGCAAGAGGCCATGAAATCCGAGATGGACTCCATGTCTGAAAATCAAGTCTGGGACTTGGTGAATTTGCCCGAGGGTTACACACCCATTGGTTGCAAATGGATCTTCAAATTGAAGACAGACAAAGATGGAAATGTATCTATATACAAAGCTAGACTGGTGGCAAAAGGTTATAGACAAGTCCACGGGATTGACTATGATGAAACCTTTTCACCAGTTGCAATGCTAAAGTCTGTCCGGATTATTCTAGCGATTGTTGCATATTACGATTATGAAATATGGCAGATGGATGTCAAAACCGCCTTCCTAAATGGGATTTTGGAAGAAACTGTGTACATGACACAGCCGGAAGGTTTTGTCGATCCGAGCAACGCTGGAAAGGTTTGCAAGCTTAAGAAGTCCATTTATGGACTAAAGCAAGCCAGCAGGAGTTGGAATCTGCGATTTGATGAAGCCATCAGCAAGTTTGGTTTTATCAAGAATCCAGATGAATCTTGTGTGTACAAGAAGGTCAGTGGGAGTGACATCGCATTCCTAGTCCTATATGTCGATGACATACTGCTCATTGGAAATAGCACAAAATTACTGGAGTCCGTAAAGGGCTGGTTAGGTAAGTGCTTTTCAATGAAGGACTTAGGAGAGGCACAATACATATTGGGCATCAAGATCTATAGAGATAGATCTAAGAAGATGATCGGATTGAGCCAGAGTACTTACATTGATAAAGTACTGGCACGATTCAACATGGATAATGCCAAGAGAGGGCATCTACCCATGTCCCATGGCGTAACTCTCAGCAAGAAACAGTGTCCACAGACACCTGTTGAGCGAGAGAAAATGGATCAGATTCCATATGCTTCGCTGATTGGGTCGATCATGTATGCCATGATATGTACAAGGCCAGATGTGTCGTATGCCTTGAGTGCTACGAGCCGATACCAATCAAACCCATGAGAGGCGCATTGGACTGCGGCCAAAAACATCCTTAAGTACCTGAAAAGGAACAAGGATAAATTCCTGGTTTATGGTGGCCATAAAGACCTGGTTGTTGAAGGTTACACCGACGCTAGCTTCCAGACTGACAGAGATGACTTCAAGTCACAGTCAGGGTACATATTTTTCCTAAATGGAGGAGCATTTAGCTGGAAGAGTGCCAAGCAGAGCACAACTGCAGACTCTACAACTGAAGCCGAGTACTTGGCTGCTTCGGAAGCTGCCAAGGAAGCTGTTTGGATTCGGAAGTTCGTAAGTGAACTTGGTGTTGTACCCTCGATAAAGGGTCCGATAGATCTCTACTGTGATAACAATGGAGCTATCGCTCAGGCCAGGGAGCCGAGAGAACATCAGAAGGTCAAACACGTGCAAAGGCGATTTCACATGATAAGGGAATGGAAATCCGAAGGTGAAATCAGAATTTGTAAGATCGGCACGGATGATAATGTAGCCGATCCATTGACTAAACCTTTGCCTCAAGTGAAACACAACAAACACGTTGAGGCAATGGGAATCAAGCATGTTGGAAACTGGCTTTGAAAATTCCCTATACATGTGTTTTAATTAAACAGGGTTGATTTAATGTAAGACACTATACTAAAACCATTCATTAATGGAGTAATTAATTTTTATGCAAAAATTACTATTTTCTCCATTACTATTTAATTGTGGTTTAGAATTAAATAATGAGTCCATTCGATTTATGGAAATATTCAAAACAGGGTATCAAGACCATGTCTTGGATAAGGAAACACCTGTTAAGTGAACATTGAATATTAAATCGAAAAGTATCCCTAATCGAGGTCATCTAACAGATGGACGATTGATGACCGCAATAGATTAGTGTGTAGTATGATTTACAGCACCGTTTCTTTGTGCTGCAAGGACATGATGGTCATAAATCATTTACACAGGTGCCAGTTTGGAACTGCACTGGATCGACCTATGAGAGTACTTTAAGAAAGGTTAAAATCTTGTCATAAGTACATTTCTCATTATAGCTATCGGAACTCGTTTCCTCGACCATGAGTATTGTGAAGTTTTCTTGTTTGAGAACTAGTCTCTTTGATGTTGCCTAACGTCTGCCGTAACTTGGGATCATAACGGTAACACTCGGGAGATTAGGTCCTCTTAGTAAGAGAAACTTACAATGCAAGACTGGGAATGTCCCCCTACCAACAATAGGGAAAATGTCTTTGTTGTTAACAAGGCCGCTCGAAGAGTGAGACTGTGAAAATGCATGGCCGTGCTCAGATGGATTTTAGAAATCATCTGCTTATTGACAGTCAAACTCGGAGATCGAGAAACACTTCTGAACGTAATAAGGATGACAAAGAATCTTACCTTATAGTTCACGAAGAGACATTAAGCGACATAGGAAATGGGCTATACACTGT